ATAAAAAATGAGAGCCTAAGAAAAAACCAATAGTGTTTCTGAGAGAGCAGAAGACGGGCTATCTCCCCATGCATTTATCTCGATTTCGAAATTTTTGACGAAAACTGACTTTTTTGAGGGGGAGGGGGGGCCTTAAGTAAACATTCATCATTCAAACTTAGAATAGTGGTTCTCTATAAAATATCTATTAATCTGTGATTTTTATAAAAATTTTACGTTCATAAGAAAAATTACTGCTTCTCTCAACTCGTTAGTGCTAATAACTACATTTTTTGTGGGTGATAGAAAGTGAGGTAGAGTACCTTCTTTTTTATTGTAAATTTCTGTTCTTTTGCTAGATGATATAATTTAGGTTTAAGAATTACTATGTCAGACTAAATGTATACGAGATATCTCAAACTCCTAGGTCTATGTTGAAAGCACATTTCCAACATTATACTACATTAAAAAAAGAAAAGTTATGTAATAGATGGGCTCTTAATCCACAAATAATTGTGTTTTTTTTATTTCATGAATCTTTATACATATTAGCTATGTAATTGTGTTTGTTTGCAAAAAAATAATCTTTAATATATATATTATTGAAGAGTTTCTTGTGGTATATTTGTCTTAACAAAATTTATGTGCATTCTTTTATTTATTTTGATTTAATTCCAACATTCTTTTAGTTATATATCATAATAATAACGAAAATAACAGGAGTGTGAACTGTATTCTTTTTAGTAACGTCATCAGATTTTGTCTTTTCTTTTTTTTTGTGTTCTAGATTGAGCCAGCATAGTAGAAATTTATTTTTTGATTTGGGTTCTGGTACAATACAAAATTTAAAATATCGCGATCAATGGATACTTGTAGGACAGAAAGGCATTAAGGGATTTAGTCCATTCGAAGAGGTATATTTCAGTTTTAATGTTGTTATACATTTAAGCATGAAGATAAAAATATGCTTTTATAAAAATACAAAAAAAAAAAGAAGAATTGCAGTTATTTTTATATGAGACTTAGAAGTATTGCTTTGCTTTAAGATAGAGTAATTAGTTTCGCATGAGATTTTCATAAACATGATAATCAATAAAACTAAAAGATTATTAAAATATAACCCTTTCACAACCCTTCATCTTCTATTCTTGTTAGCTGGTACAAATTATTTTAATAAGCATTTAAACTTTAATTTATATTATTATTGTAGATAGTGTTGTTGCTGTTGTTGTACTTGAAAAAAAATTTGAAAATATCTGTAGAGCTGTATGTTATTGTTGTTATTGCTATTGCTGCTCAAATTCAAACACATTTTTAATTTTTCATCTTTCTATTTTGGTTTATTGCATGTCTCTTTTGGTAGAAAAAAACAAACAAAAATAAAATACAATCTTTAAATAGATGTAGAATTTTTATTGTTGAAAAATAACTTTTTACTCTTTTAGATTTCCTATGCTGGCACTGGTAATACTTACGCGGTACCTGTTGATAAACGATTATGTGTACCACAAACTTGTAAGTAAGAAAAGAATTTAGTCTAGGTGATAATGTATCAGACTTATTTTTAGTGAGAGGCATTAAAATTCGACCAGATCCATTACCATTTCAAAATGATAAACGTCGTGATTTTTGCTCAAAATATGATGGTTATGGTGACTTTTGTAGTGGTAAGTGGAAAGTAAAATATTGTGTCCATAAAGAAGTTTGAATAACATTCAAATGAAAATCAGCTTAAGGACTCTCCTATGTTGAAAATATACAACTTTTTCGTTAAAAGTCGTTTTACAGCTAAGCATATGATTAGATAGTCCAAGATGTCTGCTTTTAGAATTCATACTGGTTTTATCAATATCATAGCTTTCTGAGAAAGATTTCTAAAGAAGTTTTCTAAAAATGTATAAAAAGACTGTTTTTTCTGATATTCTGACATTTCAGTAAAATGACGGCATCAAAGTGGACTTCAATGGTGTTAGTTTTAATTCACGAGCATTTTTCATTAAAATTTGACCTTTCTCAACTTTGAACGGTGCTTTGATCAAAAGTTATGACAATTGTACTATGAACCATAAAATCTGTGCCATACATTAGTACGTCGTGGTTTTCCTCTTCGTGTTCTGGAAGTTTTCTAGAATTCTCAGTCAGTTTAAATGCTAGAGAGCTCGTGATCGATTGATTTTGTAGAGTAATGTTGTCACTTTGCGAGCACAGATCCACAGTTTTCAGTTTCGTTTCGACAGGAAAACGGAGAATCTCTGAAGGACGAGAAAGAAGTTTTCACGAAAAGTGTTTCACGCTAAGCAGTAACACAAAATTTCAAAAATCTGGCTCTTTACTATCAAAGCGCTAGTATTTTTCTACAAAATGATATCATCCCGAGCTCTGTGAGGAGGCATGTACTGGTTAAAGGGTGGCCCAGAAGCCCCAACTCGATTTGTGTAATAATTTTTCTAAAGTAAAACACATGTTTGTAAATTTCTCTCTATGATGAAAAGACGCAGTAAAACACGCTCTACAAAATAACTTTTGATTGACCCCACTAGCTCATATAGTAAGGAAGTTATATAGACGTAGAAATGTGCTTCACAAAAAAGAAAAATTAACCATGAACTCTCTTCGTATGGTGGTACTTTCAGTGAAAATCTCGTAACTCCATCAAAACAAAAGATTTTTAGATCGGGTTTGTTCTGTTTTGATCAGAAATGATTGCTCTTCTCTACCTAACTGCAAAATCAAACTTCGATCACGTTTTCTATT